ACTGGTGGTTGTGAGCTGCCCAGCCTGGGTTCTAGCAACCAAAGAGGGTCCTAAGCAGGAGCAGTATACACTATTAACCGCTGAGTCATCTCTCCATCCCCTTGAGATAGGGTCTTGCACAGTCCAGGCTTGCTTTGAACTTGCTGTGTAGATGAGGATGACCTTCACCTTTGGCCCTCCCTGCTTCCCCTTCCCCAGCGCTAGGTTTATAGGTATACAGCACCTCACCGGGTGTCCAGAGCCTGCTGCGTGCCAGGCAAGCACTGAACTGAGCTTCATCCTACCACTGAGTCTATAATCTGCCTGAGTTTCTTTTTTTTTTTTTTGCATGTGGCGTGAGTTAAGGGCATAGCTGCCTTCTGTTGCTCGTGGGAGGCCACTTGTCTAAACACTGCTCACTGAAGAGGCCAAACTTTTATTGTGGTTGTTAGCACCATTGTTGAAAATCTGCTGACCATAAATGTGAAGATTTATTTTACGGGCTCTGTTTTGTTCTGCCTTTTTTTTTTTTTTTTTTTTTTTCTTTTTGGGGGGTGAGGCAGAGCAGAGGCGGAGGCAGTCAATACCATGCTGGTTCTGAGACAGGATGAAAGGCAGGGGAAATCTTGGGGACATGAGGATAGGAGCCTCTCCCTCAGGAATCGGGCTGAAGCCCCTCTGCAGAAAAGCAAAAAAACAATTGCCAGCCATTTAAGGCCCTTCCTGCTTCCCATCTGTAAACCTGCAGTTTTCTAGGAATCTGAGAAACCACATTTACAGAGAAAGGACACCTAAAATCCTTGTGTAACCCTAGTGGGTTCTGGCTTTACTTTATCAGATTATAATCTCACCCAGGGTGTCTCTCTTTCGGAGAGACAAAGGGGGCTGGAGAGATAATTGGCTCAGTGATTAAGAGTACATGCGACTCTTGCAGAGGACCCAGGTTTGGTTCCTGATAGCCCCTTGGAGGCTAACTGGAGTCTGTAACTCCAGTTCCAGGAGATCTGAGGCCCTCAGGCCTGTGTGCTGTGCACATACAGACATGCAGGCAAAGCACTCATGCACAAAATGAAAATAAGGGTGTGTCTTACTTTCCTCTTATTTAAGCTTATACTGAAATGTCTTCAATAAAACTTCCCTGACTTGGCTTGATAAACTGGCTAGTCCTGAAATTCTTTCCAGTGTTGAAGCCATGAACCCTGGTTTGTCTCAAGTCGTGGCCCTGAAAGATTAGGGTGCTCCAGGCTGCTGAGGGTGGCAGTGGGGAACTGGGTCTCTGTCCCCTCCCCACTGACATTTTGATTGATAGGTATTCTCCACCGAGGAAATGAGCCGGTGCAAGCCGAATTAAAGTGCATAAAGGCAGGTTTATGGGGGCCAGCTCTCAGGGCCCAAAGGAACGGGCCAAGGGAAGTAGCCATGTAGAGGGAGACAGAAAAGAGGGTGAGGGCAGAGAGAGAAAGTACTCACAGAGAGAGAACCAAAATGTCTGGATTATATAATGAAGACCCTTGGGGGGAGAAGAAGCCCAGGTCTTGGGCTGGAAAGTTCAGGTAGGGACTGAGGGATGCTGGGAGAACCTGGAGGCCAGGCCCGATTTAGTCTTTTAAATAGGCATCTCAGCTGCTTGCCCGGAATCTGAATCCCAGCACTGATTAATGTAGCTTGAATATATTTGAACCTGGGGAGTATGATATCTCCAGCTTTGTCCTTTTTGTCCAAGACTGCTTTGGTTCTTTGAGATGAATTGTAGGATTTCTTAAAACAATGTTAGTGAAAAATGCATAGGAATTGGATAGGAGCTGCAGGAGTCCACAGGTCCCTTTGGGTAGCATGTGTCTCTTTAACAGTTATCCGTTCTTCCAACCCATGCACACGTCACTCCATTTTTTATTAAATCTAATGTGAATGAATGTTTTACTGTGGACCATGTGTGTGCCTGGTTCCTGCACGGGTCAGAAGGTGGTACTAGATCCCTGGAACTGGAGTTACAAAGGATTGTGAGCTGCCGTGTCCTCTTCAGGAGCAGCCGGTGCACTTAGCTGCTCGGCCTTGTCTTTGGCCCCTCCATTCCTTTTTCTTCGTTTTTCTGTCTCTCTCTTTTAAGTTTGGAAATCCCCTTTGTTATTGAAATTTATTTCTAAGTTGTTTGCTTGTGTTTTGATGTTGTTGTATATTGGATCATTTTATTTTTCAGAAGGCTTGCTGTTAGTGTATAGCACCGTACTGAGAGTATTTACAATATTAGTTTTTTTTAATTTCTATTTATTTTTTAAATCTCTGTTTTGTTTTGTTTTTAATTTTTGAGACAGGATTTCTCTGTGTAACCTTGGCTGTCCTGGACTCACTTTGTAGACCAGGCTGGCCTTGAACTCAGAGCAATCCACCTGCCTCTGCCTCCCTGAGTGCTAGGTTATAACAGGTGTGAGCCACCGTGACTGGTGGTTTTTCAAGACAGGGTTTCTTCATGTAGCCCCTGCTGTCCTGAAACTCCCTCTGTAGACCAGGCTGGCCTCAAACTCAGAGATGTCTGCCTGCCTCTGCTTCCTGAGCGATGGGATCAAAGGCTTGTGCCACCACCGCCCAGCCTTAATTTTTATCTTTTTATTTGTGGAGGTCAGAGGGCAACTTTGTGATGTTTGTTCTCATTCCACCCGTAATTGGGTTCCAGAGATTTAACTTAGGTCATCTGGTTCGTCTGGCAAGTGCCTTTGCCCCCTGAGCCATGTTGTGGATCCCTATACGTAATTATTTTCATGATATTTAATGGAACTTTCGAACACTCTATTTCCCTGTGTTTTCTTTACCGTTCTCTGTTTAATTTTCTTTTTCTTTGTCCCATTTTCCTCCCTGAAGAGCTGAAGCATTGTCAGCAGTGTTGACACGTTTTTTTTGTAAATCGCAGGAGACGGAGGCATGAGGATTGGTAACCGAGGCCAGCCTGGGTTAGGAGATCTAGAACCTTTTCAAGAAAGAAGAGTAAGCAGAAACCAAACAAAAGCTGGGAGCCTTCCTCTTCTGTCTCGTGTGCACTTCCCCTGTCCTCTTTACAAAGCCGTGACCAGGAGACCAGTGGGTCTTTTAGGGACTAATTGGGTCATTCTCATTCAGAGAAAAATGTGTGAGCCTCGGGCTCTGCTCTTGGCCGGAGGCCATCTGCCCTGTTTCTGAGAGGAAGGGAAAGATGGGCAGGCAGCTCCACCGCCCAGGGAGAACTGTGCTGCTGGTTCAAGGGGAGAGGGAAGAGAGAGCAGTAGATTCAATCCCACCTCCATTGAGTCCTCTCCCCCAGATCAGTGGGGTGGGAGGAGGAAGGTGTGTCCGGCTCTGAAGTTTCCTTCTAATACTAGCTTCTGACTTTTTTTTTTTTTTTTTTTTTTTTTTTTTGTGGTTAGAAATATGTGTTAAATTAATTTTTAAAGGTGGTGGCATACACCTTTAGAAGCAGAAGCAGGCGGATCTCTGTGAGTTCGAGGCCAGCCTGGTCTACAGAGTGAGTTCCGGGACAACCAGGGCTACCCAGAGAAACCCTGTCTTTAAAAAGAAAACAAAAAAAATATTTGTTTTTAAAAATGTATGTGCACGTTGGCTGTCCTTGAGGCAGGGTCTCTTAGGGAACCGAGCCAGGCTGCTGGTCAGCAAGTCCCAGCGATCCCCCTGTCTCTGCTCCCCGACCAAGTGCTGGGGTTACAGCTGTGTGCCTGGGCAGGCCAAGCTTCTCAGGGATTTGAACTCAGGTTCTCACTCTTGCACCTCCGCTGAGCCACCTCAACAGCCCCTGAATTAGCCTGGCCTCCCTTCCGGCCTCCCATCCTTTGATAAGCTCTCACTATGTAGCCCTGGAGCTAACTCACAGAGACCCTCTGCTTCCGGAGGGGGGATAAAGGCATGCACCACCACACCTGCAAAACTTAAATGAGTTTTGAAAGAAGTCCCCCTATGTAGCTCAGCCAGCTGGGTGAGTTCCCTGTATGGCTGGGCGGGCCTAGCTCCTGATCTCCTGCCTCTCCCTGGTGACTAAGCCCAGGGCTTTCTGGTCGCCTAGCAGACACCGATAGGTTTTTCCTACTTGACCTGTTAGTAGATTTGCTGAATCATTGGTTGTCCCTTTATCTTAACCAGCACAATGTGTTTTCTCTAAGGGGTGTGTGCTGGCTTCTTTGACTAGCTGCAGATTTTGATGAGATGGTATCTCAAGTAATTAGATTTAGGATTTTTTTTTAAACGTCTAAATTGATCTCTTTTTCACTTCCCCCTCCAATTATTGGGTGCTCTAAGTGTAAAAGGACCTTTTCCTTCCTTAAAGGAGAGGCTATGATAACTTACAGGGAAGAGATGGAACACATGTGGGCCCAGCAGAAAAAGGAATCCGTTTGGCAGAGACTTCAGAGACTGTATTAGCCTCAGCAAGGAACCTTAACTTGAAATTAGCACTGGGGTCCTCTATAGCCTCAGACCTGTTAAGGGAGTGATTCCCATTCTGTTCCACCCCTAGACACTCAAAGGCGCCATTAGTAGTTGTTATTTTTTTTTTAATTTAATTAAAAAAATTGTAGTCGGGCTCGGTGGTGCACGCCTGTAATCCCAGCACTTGGGAAGGCAGAGGCAGGCAGATCTCTGTGAGTTCAAGGGAAGGCTGGTTTACAAAGCGAGTCCAGGACAGCCAAGGCTACATAGAGAAACTCTGTCTCAAAAAACCAAAATAATTTTATTATAATTATAATTATGTATAATTATGTATTATATTATAATTATTAGTGTGTGTGTGTGTTTAAATGCCTGCCAGACATAATGGCACATGCCTGGAACATGCATGCATGTGTACCCAAGAAGGCCAGGAGAGGGCATCCCCTTGGACTTAGAGCTACAGGTGGTTGTGAGCTGCCTGGGAGTGCTGGGAACTAAACTGTGGTCCCCTGGGGGAGCAGCAAGTGCTTCTAACCACCAAGCCATCCCTCCGGCGCCTGGCAATGATGTTTATAGCCAGAAACTAATTGACATATCTTCCTCTTGCTTTGAAGGACTCAACATATGCACTAGCGGAAGTGCCACCTCGTGTGAAGAATGTCTATTAATTCACCCCAAATGTGCCTGGTGTTCCAAAGAGGTATGTGAGACGGGGCACGCTCGGGGTGGGGTGGAGGCCCGTAGCACAGGAGTTTACATCAAAAGCCAAACAGGTGCCGGCTCTTTCGTGGCTCTGCAGAATTACATCTTCAGCCCCTCACCTCACCTCTGCTGTTCTTTTGGAGACAGACTCGCCTTGTTGCCTGGGCTGGCTTTGACTTTGCTGCCTAGCGTTGATTTGCAATCCTTCTACCTTCGTATCTCCAGTACCTGGGATTGTAGACCTGCACTACCAAACCCAACTCAAAGCTTTCTTTTCTGGGTTCCTCCCTTCTTCTTCTTTTGTTTGTGTGTGGTGCTGAGGACTGAACTTAAGGTCTTGTGTGTGCTAGGCAAGAGCTTTGGCCATTGAGCAATGTTCTGTCCTTGGCAGACTGGGTGGCTCACTTCGTCACACTTAACTTTCCTTATTGGGGATTGAATTCAGGGCTTTGATCTACCACAGAGCCCCAGCCCACACATTCTGGTCTCTTTGCAGTGTTGGATGTTAATCATATTTTGGAGAAAACAGGCTTTGTTCTCTTTTTGTGTGAGAACTAATGAGGATTCAGCTGTAGTCCCCTGATCTTTGGATAAGCATTCTGAGGAAGACCTGAGCTTGGAAAGTGAGTTTCTTGCATATCAATTGAAAGCAGGCCTTGGGCTGGTGGTGTAATGAGAAGTAAATACCATAATTTAAAATAATGGCTCTGCCTTTAAAAGAATTTAAAAAAAAAGTTTATTCTGAGCCACTGTGGTCTGGGAACAAGGTTTCCAGTATGTTCTACCTGTCGACAAGTTAAATGAACTTTTGTAATCACAGAACAAAAGGAAGTCAGAGTTCTTTTTGCTGCTAACATTGGTGGGAGTATTAGGCTCTAGAGCAAAGCTGGGGATCGCTTTTATAGGGTTCTTTTCCTATACTTTCATCTATCTGTCTGTCTGTCTATCTATCTATCTATCTATCTATCTATCTATCTATCTATCTATCTATCTAATTTTTTGTTTGTTGTTGTTCTTTTGAGATAGGGTTTCTCTGTGTAGCCTTGGCTGTCCTGGAACTCACTCTGTAGACCAGGCTGGCCTCAAGCTCCACAGTGATCCACCTACCTTTGCCTCCCCAGTGCTAGGATAAAGGCCTGTGCCGTTTTCTTTTGTTTGTAAGACAGGCTTTGTGGTGGTCAGTACTAATTGTCAATTTGATAGAGTCTAGAATCACCTGAGAGATGGGCTCTGAGCATTCCTGGGAAGTTCTCTTTATTGCATTAATTGAGTGAGGAAGACCCACCCACTGTGATTAGAACCATTCTCTGGTATCCTGGGATCCCGGCCTGTATAAATTGAGAAAGGGAGATGAGTGACCGCCTGCTTTCCTCATTCTGTGCACCACCGTGCCCTGCTGAGATGCAGCTTCTTCCATTCTGCTGGACGGCTGTCATCTTAGTATGGTTTATTTAATGCTTTTTAGATAATTAGGCTTTCTGGGATCTTATTTAAAAGAGGGCTGTAGCCAGGCATGATGGCATGTAGCTGTAATCACAGCATTTAGGAGGCTTAGGCAGGAGGACCTTAAGTTAGAGGCTCACTTGAGCTATACAGCCAGACGCTATATCCAAAGCTAAACAAAGGTTGAGAGATGGCTCAGGCGCTGAGAAGACACACTGCTTTTCCAGTTTTCTTGGTCAGTGTGTTCTAGCTATGACGAGACACCGTGATCATGGCAACTCTTATAAAGGAAAGCATTTAATTGGGGCTGGCTTACCGTTTCAGAGGTTTAGACTGCTATCCGTGTGGTGAGAAGGAAGCCTGGTGGTGCTCAGGCAGACAGGGTGCTGGAGAGTTGCTACAAGTTCTGCATCTGGATGGATAAGCAGCAGGACAAGAGAGGTGCTGGGCTTAGCTTGAGTATTTGAACCCAAAGCCCACCCCCAGTGACAGGCTTCCTCCAACGAGGCCACAGTTCCTAATCACTCTCAAGTAGCACCACTCCCTAATGACCAAGTATTGAAAGATTTGAGCCTTTGGGGCCATTTCTATTCAAACCAGCACACCAGTTTTCCTTGCTTCCTTCCTTCCTTCCACCTGGATTTAGTGCTTACAAACACAAACATGGTCCTTGGTTGCTAGGAAAATGACATCAGATCCACCAGAATATGTTTAGCACCAGATTTGCTGTCACTTTGCCATAAAACACGTCAGTAGAAGCAGGGAGGCATAGAGTAAGCTTCATCTTATATTTGGTTCATGAGGGATATGTAGTTTTGAATAATGTTTTGCATGAACTGGGCACTTTAATATTCTCATTGTGAAATTTTAATATTTGTCCTGGGCTCTGCTAGTGTTTGGGGAAAATGGTCAATTTCTAACCTGCTGCTTCTTCTTTTTCTTCTTTTTCCTCTTCTTCTTCTTCTTCTTCTTCTTCTTCTTCTTCTTCTTCTTCTTCTTTTCCTCCTCCTCCTCTTCCTTGTCTTCTTTCTTCTTTCTTCTTCCCCCCCCTCCCCCCCGTAGCCTGGGCTGGGCTGGAAGTCACAGATCCACCTGCCTCTTCCTCCCAACTTCTGGGTCACAGGCAAGTACCACTACACCCAGCTAAAGTGTCTTGTCTTAAGGGAAGGTTTTAGGTCACTATTCTAAGCTTTATTAGAACCATGGGGCACAAACCTTTCCCTTGCAAGTACAAGGAGGCAAGACTTGTAGTTTGGGGCTAGCTCAGTCTCTCCAGTGTGTAGTCCCTGAGGGAGGACCAGGAGGTGGCTTCTGGAGGTAATAATAGTCTTGTTTTACTGAGGCTATTTCCAGGGTCCCAGAGAGGTAGAGCAGCTTGTGCAAAACCATGCACATGTCAAAACTGGGCTAGAATTTGCCATCCTCGTTACTGGGCCTCGGGTCTTCTAGGTGACAGTGTGTCTCTGTACACTGTCTCTAACCAGCGTGCAACAGAGAGTACTTAACTAAACAGGTTACGCTGGGAAAGGAATCTTTATGCAGCCAGCCCTTTCCTGTTTGTAGTGTCTTTGTTACGAACCTTCTGGAACCATTTTTGGTTCTCTCTGACCTCCACGACAGATCCAGGTTCCAACGTGCCTGCTTCCTGCCCATTGCTGTCCCTTGCCCACCCTCAGCACTTCTTTTACCAAGGGAACTACTGAGGCTCCTGAGTGAAAAGCCTACATAATCCCCACCCTGCTACTTCCCCTGGGGACTTCTTGCCTTTGCCAGCAGCTTCCAGTTGTTAGCAAGCAGTTCAAGGGCAGGGAGAGATGGCTCAGCACTTAAGAACACTGGCTGGTTTCCCAGGGGTTCAATTCCAGGCACCTACACGGCAGCTCACCACTGTCTGTGACTCCAGTTCCAGGGAATATGACAACCTCACGTAGACATACATGCAGGCAGAACACATTATACATACATAAGTCTCGTCTACTCTTTGAAAACTTTGCGTGATAGACCCATTCATCCATCTAGCCACCTGCCCATTCATTTGTCCATCTGCCATGAGAGGGGAAACCCCCTCCACTGGAAACAGCATGGATTTACTCATCACTGTATCCTCTCACTCACAGTGCTCCTAGCCCGTGATAATTGCTCCCTCCGTAGGTAGCAGTTGAAGGATTTCGTTGAATGACTGCTTGTTACCTGCCGCATTCAGGTTCTGACCTGCCCTTTGCCTTTGTGTCTTTAAGTACCTCTGTATCATAACCCTTCCCCATCTTTATCTCCTTTCACCGGCTTACTGTGTTTTAGTGCCTGCTGCCAATTAAGTCATTTATACCCAGTGTCCTTCCGGGGTTGGGGCAGGAATTCATATTTGATAAAAGAGGACTGCTAAACAGACACAGAGTTAGGCAAAGTTTAAATCCCAGCTTTGCCATGATTTATTCTTTGTCTGAGCCAGGGCCTTTTGTAGCCCAGGCTTGTCCTGACTCGCTGTGTACCTTAGGGTGATCCTCCTCTGATGATCCTATTTCTACCTCCTAACCCGGAGGGGGTATCAGCGCATCAGTCTGTCTGTTTAGTGTCTTATGACGTAGCCCAGGCTATCCTAAAATTCAGCCATCTGTCTCTGCATAAGGGGTTTCAATGCCATCCAAGGTGTGAGGTGTTTCAATGCCACCCAAGGCCACTGTTAATTTCTTGAAACATAGAATGAAGGTGGCATCACCCAGCACCTAGCCTTCCTGGATCGTCATGAGGTTAGGGCAGGTCTTATGGATTATCTGAACCTTCCAAACGGCTGAATGAATGAGTCGTCCAGCAGATGACCATTGTCACCTACAAGCATATTCTGGTGAAATGGGTAGTGGGTTCTGGGAGCCAGGGTCTGTTTTGACTCTCAGTGTCTTCCTTTCTTAAACAATACTTCCTGAAGTCTCACCTGGTATTGACGAATAAGTCATTCTGATGGACACATTTTTGGTCTAGTCCATACATGGGGTCTCTAGCTGGCCCACTGGGTGCCCTCTCTGCTTGCACAGAGCCTCATTCTTGGCTGTATTGAAATGCAGCTTCCCTTCTCTGGGCTGAGCTGTCCCTGAGCATGGATTATGTTTTGGGATTCTAGGGCTGGAGAATCCAGGAATGGTTTTGATCTAACTTGTGCCTTAGTGAGGCCGAGTAAGAACGGCTTGTGCCTTCTTAGCCACTTTCTGGGATGCTGTCAGGAGCCAGGCCTCTGCCAGGAGCATGTGATACATGAGTGTCCTCAGAACTGGTACCCAGTGGACAGCCTCGGTGGATCCTAGCCAGAGTTAGCCAGAGTGGCTTTTTAATGTGTTTTCCAGACAGGATCTTACTTAATCTGTAACCCAGACTGCCCTTGAACTCAGGATCCTCCTTCCCCAGCCCTTATGTTTGCTGGGATTATAGTGTGTTCCTGCCGCCAGCCTCTGTCACCACCTGCCTCATCCCTTTGTTAATCCTAGAACACACTCCCCAGGGGTCCTCTGTTAGGGGGAGGGGACCCCGTCTCTGATTTGACACTCACTGTGACCTAATGTCCAC